AGAGGATTAAACACGAAGGCGAAAGTTTTAATTGTCGTAACACAAGTTTAAACAACACTAACTTATAAGATTGGGTTTTAGTAAGGAATTGTTATATTTTCCTTGAAATACATATTGGTTCAAAAATTTGGAAAAATGTTTACATAATTTTCACTCGTGTTATATTATTTCAAAATACTTATTTTCTTTCTTAATTTGAAATTTTAAAAAAACTGAGTAGTAAAAAATCCCGGATGAAATTATTGTACAAAGTCAATCAATTTTATCGTAAAATACAATTTTACCTTAAAATATTATATCGTAATTTTTACAGCAATGTTCACTGATTTTGAGGTAATTATTGCTGTAAAAAATACGGTATACCAGATTCATGGTTCCGTAACATGCTCTGGTAAAAATGACCTTTACGGTACCGGAGGGCATGAACTTTTTTTCAATTGATTTACTTTTAATGTTTGGTTTAAGTTAGCACAAAGTGAGTGTGAAGAAAATAAGCTTAGAAGAATTTTTCAGATGTTTTTTCAAAAATTGTGCTGTTTAATGCAATAAAGTGGTTTATTTCAATATTTCTCTCTCTGGTAGTTTGTATGATAGTAATAATAATATTTTCTTGTTAAAATTCATCGCAACTTACTATGACAAAAATCCCAACTTACTTTTAACCTAAAAATATTGTTTTATCAGGTCAAAAACATTTTGTATTTTAAGAAATTATATTGAATAATTTAATTAATTTATTTATTGCAATTGATTTATAATTTCAAGTTTAATACTTATATGTAAATATGTAAATTATTCTTATCTTTAAGAGTATATATAATTATTTTTTATTGATAAATTATTAAATCAATTAAGAAAAATTTTTTCATTTTCATTTTACCCTATTGATGACACTTTTAGATCTAGTTTCTAAAAGTGTTTCAAAGAATTCTAAACTTCACTGTAAAATCCATTAAACGTTTCTAACAACTGTTTACAGTTAATGATTTGTAAAAAAATGCATTTTTATGGTTTCCTTGAAATTGGTAACATGTTGAATTTAAACATTCGCTTACATCTCAAGATAGTGCAAATAAGAATTAAAAAGTTAAAAATCATATAACAATTAACATATAAATAAACGCCTTAAAAGTTTCATTTTAAATAACAAAGAAGATTCAGAAAAGCTGCCAATATATAAAACACATTTCAAAAATACTTAAAATATATTTTAGTAGTTATTCTTAAAACATTGATATTTATTTATTTCTGAAACTATATAAAAAAATTGTTGAAAATTTTGAAAGATTTTGTACTTAGCAGTTGCAACATTTTTTAATGCAATCTGGTATGTAACTTGTTTTCCGTCAGAGTGTTTTGATCTAAGCTTATGAGTATCGTACAAAAGGTAATTTTGATCATAAATTATTGATGCATTTTAAAAACTTCATTCACAAGCCTCTCTTATTTTAACTGTAGGATAAAAAACATAACACTTTTATAAAGGCATCAATGTGTCAAGAGGAGAAAAATGTTACAAGGAAATCTCAATTTTTATATTGGTTAAAATATTGAATTTATCATTGAAAAAATTAACAAAATACTGCTTATGTAAGATTATTTATTTTAATACTTTACATAAAAGCATAATAGTGGCCTGGAAAATAGTTTTAATACACTTTTAATGTTTGAAATGTTTTATACTATTTTTTTTCTGATACGGATGTGAAAATGTAATTTTAAGAAGAACACACTCAAAGTTTTATAAAGCTGTAAAATTGTCTGAACTATATTATAATAATCCTTTAAATTATTTTACATATATACCTAATAAGTAAAAAGTTGAAAAGTTAAAGAAATAATTAAAAAATATTTCCCCTCACAAGAGCCTCTTAATTTAACAATCTCATACTTTTGAATTACAAATAAATCATTCACTAAAACAGTGTTTGTATAAGCGTATGACACAATGCTTTATGTGCATTTCAATGGCCAAAAGATATGCTCTGAATGCCACATTACTGAAACTAAGATTACTTATTGAAATGTATCTGCATAATTATTGCATTTCCGGACGTATTACTCACTTACAATTTGAGAGTATTAGTTTGGAATAGACACTAAATATTTAACCTTTAGCAACAATGGCCTTTAACCTTTAGAATAAATAAGAATAAAAAAAACATTCTTATACATTTAAATTATAAATAAACCATCAACCAAAACAGTTTTTGTGTGAATGTATGATACGTACATTATTTGTATTTTAATAATGAAAATATTGTTCAATAAGTAACATTATTGAAACTAATATTTTTTGTTAAAAAGTATCTGCATAGTTATTACATTTCCGGACGTATTACTCACTTACACTTTGAGACTAAATTAACGTTTACCAATAATGATCTAAACTTTAAGATGAAGAACAAATAAACATTCTTATACGTTTGATTTAGAATTGAATCATCACCCAAAAGAGTTTTTATGTGAGTGTATGACACGCACATTATTTGTATTTTAATGATAAAAATATTGTTCAATAAGTAACATTATTGAAACTAATATTTTTTGTTAAAAAGCATCTGCATAGTTATTAAATTTCCGGACGTATTACTCACTCACACTTTGAGATTAAATTAACGTTTACCAATAATGACCTAAAATTTAAAATTGAGAATAAATAAACATTCTTATACTTTTGAATTAGAATTGAATCATCATCCAAAAGAGTTTTTATGTGAGTGTATGACACGCACATTATTTGTATTTTAATAATGAAAAGATATGCTCAATACTCAACATTATTGAAACTAATACTTCTTATTGAAATGTATCTGCATAATTATTACATTTCCGGACGTATTACTCACGTAAACTTCGAGACTAATTTAACTTCTTTGGAACAGACACTAAAGAATTAACCTTTAGCAAGCAATGAACACTTCAGCAACAATGAGTTAAGAAAGGTCAGATGCCTTCTGCAACTAGTGCATTGTTAAAATGTTAGCAATATATTTCCTATTTGTTTAAGACTGTATTATAAGCCAACGACAAGTAAGAAAAATATTAAGTTGTGGAAGAACTGTTCAGATTATCCCATTACTTTATTTGTGGTACACATGTCTCTTCAATGAAGAGAGTACTCTGTAAATTATCACTGTTATAATATAAATTGAACTAATTAGGAAAAATATATTATTGCTACGCTAGATATGTCATTGACTATATCCATGGCTACGGAAGATCGACAGAGATATGAACGTCCTTAAATTCGAAATACAACAAGCTCGAAATGGCTATACTACACACAAACCTAAAAAAGTCAAATATGTATAGTAAAATTGAAAGAGTGGCAGATATATTGTTTAATAAAGGCTGTAATAAGTTTTTTTATTGTTAACTTTTACAGCATACTGTAGTTTAGGTATATTTCTTAACTCTTTTACCTAAAAAAAATTCGGGTTTAATCAAATAAAGCAAGAGCTGTTCTAGTTTTTTCTCGGCATTGAATGCATGTGCTGAAATTTAGACAGTGTGAAAAAAAACTGACCAGAGGCATTAGCCCGTGATCTAATAATCAGATCTTCACGTTCTAAGATCCAATTTTAATGGTTCGAGGGAGTAAAATAAAATATGATATCTTTTTCTGTATAAATGTACCTTTTTTTTCGACAGATTCGGAGTTTTGATCCCAATAATATAGGAGATAGATGCAATCTGGAAATATTCTCTCAATAGTTTGGTCAGTAGAACGGTTTAATACTTGGATTCCTCAATGCTGACTTTATTTTCTAAGCATCTCGCCCTATCTCGAAAACTTTTTGAGCGAATTATGAAATTTTGAACACAATTATAAAATTCGTTTATTCAAAGATAATTAAATGCAAAAAATGAAATTTAGTAAATATTTATTAATCTGTTTAATCATAATCCAATAATAGATGTACAATTTTTTTACATCATTTCGAAGAATGTAATTTTACACATAAAATACAAAATTTGAGAGAAATTGGTCGAATCGTTCCAAAGAAATCGAATTTAAAAAAATAAAATAAAAAGTATTTTAATATTCGATTTCTCAGAAACTATTCAACCGATTTCATTAAATTTTTTTATTTTGTCATAAAAATTGCATTCTTTAAAATTATGTACCTTACGTATGTAAATGTGTACCTCGCAATTCAAAATTGTTTTGACTATAATTAAGTAAAATAATAAAAAATAATAAATATTTACTGAAAATTAATTTTTTTTTTACCTATAATTCTTTGGATAAAAGAATTATATGCAAAAATATTTCTTTGGATAATCTTTGAATAAAAGAATTATATGCAAAAATGTAATTCTTTGGATAATCTTTGGATAAAAGAATTTTATAAGTGTATGCAAAAAAAATTTTCAATTCGCTTAAAATGTTCCCGAGATATAGCGAAATACGAAAAATTAAAATTAATATTAAGAAGTCTGAACTTTGCATCCCGTTTCTGATCAAATTAGGACCAGATTTTTTAGACTTCAGCTACCTCCAATATTTTGAGGGTCAGATATACATATTCATTGAAAAAGGTTACATTTATTCAGAGAAAATACGTTTTTGTGTCTGATTTAAAAATTTAAACTATCGTCTGCTCTAATTAGTTGACATATTTGAGGCCACCTCCTCAAACCATTATGAATGGATTCAGTTCAAGAATGTGAAGATTCCATAATTTGATCTAAAATTATTCAGGTTGGTCCGTGATTTGTTTTGGATACTGTACATTAGAAAACGACGCAACGCATATTTTTATTGATGCAACGTGCAAATAGTAAAGTTAAAGAAATCATTTTGAACTTTTATCTAATGATTGGGTTATCACGTATAAAATTAATAATTCGTGAGACTAACCTTAGAAATTGCTAAATATTTGAGCGGAATATAATTTATAATAGTTATAATTAAATTAATAATTACGTAATTTATAATTAACAATTATATAATTTATAATTAAAAATTATATAATTTATAATTTATTATGGAATACAATTTTTGTCACGTTTTTTAGTTAAGAAATCAGAGACGAATGCTTACTTTCTTTCAATAAACAAACCTTTTTTTTGGACTTTATGAGGACAGCAACCTAGCTGTAAAATACCGTTCCGACATTTTATGGGACAAATTTCCAAATCCATTGTAAAACGTTATGATTATTTAGTAAAACTACGCTTTCGTGTCTGATTTCGTAACTTAAATTGTTTTTTGCACAAATATATTTTTGAATTATATTTAAGGTTAGTGCTTAAATAATTAAGAATTCCTCACATTACATGAAAATCTAATAACTAGATCAAAAGTTATTAAGGTGTTCGCTTTTTCTTTTTACTCTTCAGGAATTCGTAAATAGCCATCGACAATTTTAGCAAAATTTTTGAAAGTAAAATCAAATCAAAATTTAAAAATGTGCTTAATAAACGTGAAAAAAGCCCTCAGTTTATAGTCTTATGCATACATTTACTTACTTTTTTCTTGAAAATGCTTCTAAAATCCTTGAAATTACGCAAATCACTGCCGAATTGAGAAAAAAATATATAAACGAGTTTATAAAACTCAGGGAGCTAAGAATTTGTGAAAATTCACATAAATGTAAGATTGTTTTAATTATAAATAAGCAAAAAAATCATCCGATATTAAATCAAACCATAACTCAAATTTAAGATAAATTTGGATCTGATAATTTGCTTTGCACATTTTAACAATTAGGTAAGCAAATCAAAATTATAAGTACTAGGAATCTTTTGAGTAAATAGATGGTAATCCAGATTAAAAATTCCGTCGTGGTCTCTAAAATTACAATTAATTTTGAATTTTATACTATCTGAATAGTCTCGAACTATGTATAACAAAAGCAGAATAGAATTTTTGTGAAATGAAAAAGTCTTTTTCATAATTTTCATTGGAAGTTGTACATATTAAATAGTGCACGACATTTACTTACAATATATCTGCCACATTTGATGAAACATCATATTAGCACAAGAAAAAACCATGTTTGAAAAAACACATTACTAGATTCTAATAAATGCTGAAGGTTAAAGATTACTGCTATATACTTGGTCCGACCATTATTATTCTAGATATATACTAAAAATTCAATAAGCTAAATGCGAAAATGATATACATTATCAATGGCTAAATTATTAATAATCATGTTTTGTTAAGTCATGTTTTGTTTATATAATTATTCGGACAGCAACAAATATTGTAATAAATAAAATTTGTTAGTTTTAAAACCAACAGTGTATAGCAGCTCATGCTTTCACTCAATACTTTTACTTTTGATATATTTAACATGTAACAAAAAATCCCATCATTGTTTCAGAAATATTGGCATTGTTTTATTAAATAAAGTGTGATTTTTTCATAATATCTCTGGTATTTTCTAAAAACATTTAATTTTGCCTACAACTTTCGACTATATTACATTACAGCCCTACAAATCGCCTCTGCAGCTCATTTGCCGACGATCCCTTTAGACAACATGCGTCTGATTTGAGAGATCATGTAGCCTACGCGATCAATTTGTGGGCACCTCACATCGCTGACGCAATCACTACTTTGGCAGCTCATTTAGCAGGTACGATCATTTCGCTTACAGCTCATTTTGCCAATATGATCGTTTCACCGACAGCTCATTTCGCTTAAACACTTATTTTGAAGACATAATCATTGCACAGACTTTCTAATTTCACTGACACAATTATATTACATGCTTACACTGTAAAAAAATGGACACTCGATTATCACGAAATTTCCATCGTTTTTGACGAAGCTGTTTCCTGATAAACAGTCTCCGAGTAAAAATTTCGTCAAAGTGACTAAATAACTATCGTTACTTCTTCGAGGAAACAAATTTCGTAAAAATTGAAGAAATATTTCGTCATTCTTTTTTTTCCAAATAAAGATAAACTTCTAGTGCCTAATGTATCTACCTCTTTTAATAATCGCTTTAACGTAAGCACCACGTAAATGGCACGATACAACAAGAACAGACAGATAAATTACATTCATGCCCGAAGAGGGATTCGAACTCTGGATCTTACTGGTACAATCTCAACTTCTTGCCTACCATATAAACCTTGTAGCGTAATCCGTCAGTTTACTTTCGATTGTCCAGTCGTTTTTCTAGTTTCGTCATTGTAGCTAGAAATTTCCCATATTGCAGTATGAAGAGGTTTCGAATAGAGGAAACATTTTGTCATACAACTGAGAGTTCACGTTTCGTCACAAATCCGGTGATTTCGTGACGAAATGATTCCCAAAATTAACGAAATACTGATCAAGGATTGTTGAGTCGTCAAAAGTAAGAGTTTTATTTCTGAGTGTACATTTGATTTGCCTTTTTTGTCTAACCTAACTTTATTAATTGCTAATTTTTTTTAAAATATTGTTCTGGTTATTTTTTTCAAATTTCATTTGTTTTAAAATTTGAGGTGCATTTATCTACATTAATAATAATTCAATCAAAATTTGGTTGCCGCTGAGACTCGTAGAAGCAATTATTAAGTTCAGCACTGTATAGTTTGAATTGAAGTTGATACCAAGTTTTTAAAGTAGTTTGTTTATGAAAATCATTTAGAAATATGTCATTAAAGTTTCGCTTGGAAATTTTTTTTTATCATTTTATAATATTGATTTTCAATCAATAAGTTTACAATTAGATTATGATTTCTTAGAGATACATTAATGTTTACGATTGTTTTAATCGTTGTAAGTATGCATGTACGCTGAAAGTATAAGCATTTCTTTTTCATTTATAAATTTAGAAAAAAGAATATTCAATGTTTTTGATATACAAAAATGCTTTTATGCTTTACAATATTTCAAACATATTTCTGAAACGAAGACGAGACTTCTTGCGCTGTATAAGTTAAGGGCAGAGTTAAAAAAAAATTAACCATACGATTCTACTTAAAAGCTACTGAAGATATATTTAATTCAACTTTTTTGCAATATTTGTTTTTAAAAAGTATCTGCCAACTACAACTATGACTTTTAAAATTATCTCATAACTACATAACACATAAATGCAAATTATAACTATTACATTTGCATTTGTATATATTACATTGTCTGAAAATAATTGATTTTGTTGCTTAATAGATGCTAAATTCATTTTGTACTAATGTATGCAATATTTAGTCCACATGTCTCAGTCTTGGTGTTACTCTGGAAAATAGGACGTCTATCGGCATTTTGTCGTCATAAAGAGCTGGTGCTCTAAGAATTATGCAGCCTGTCCCTACTATGCACGCTATTGAAAATATCCAAAGGAAAAGCCTGTCTAGAACCATTGCCACGTATTGCCAATCACCTTCTATCTAGAAATAAAAAATTTGATTATTATTTGGAGTGATTTTTACTATTCTACTGAGGAGATATGCATAGTATTCTGCAAAGACTTCCATTAGTACGTGTTTTTAGAATACTTATTGAACTGAAAACAACAAAAATGGTATGCACCTTGGAGATCAAAAACTAATATTTAAGTAAGGAAAAAACCAAAAACGATGACGAAATCGGACAAAATACAGTAGAGAAAAGCGAATATGACAAACATCAAAACATGTTTAAATGGAGGCTAAAGCTATAAGGTCTTTCTATTAATCGTCTTTCAATTCATTTCTTTTTTTCTAAACTTGTTGCTTGCCACTAAACAAGTCTTGTTGCTTATTAAGTTTGACTTACTGTTCTGTTGTTTGGCAGATTTTGATAGGGTTTTCGTTTTTTTTCCGGTTAATTATTAATTTGTGGAATTGATATTTAATATTTATTCTTTTTTTAATGAAAGTTCAAAAAATAAATATTGAATGTGGTTTTTAAGGAACACTTTTTATAATTTTAGAGTTGTGACACCTAAACTTTTTCTAATCTTCTTTTTTTAGAGATAAGATGTCAGTAATTAATGTAGCTTAAATGTGGGGGATTATTCGGAGGTTAAAAGTGAATGATTAAATGGGGGTTGTATGTCAATGATTGAATTAAGGTTATGCCTGGATGATACGTTAGGATCCATCAATAACTAAAAGGATATAATAAGTTGATAATTAATAATGGTGATGAGCAGTTATTTTTTTACTTGAAAAAAAATTTTGCTTTTTCATTTTCATTTTTGGCTATTTTAAACACAGAAAGAGAGCATAAAATATATATTTTTTTAACTGATTTAAGTTTACTAAAGATATTTTAATTTGAAATAAATTTCTTCTCGATGTAATTTAATAGTTTAGAAAAATTATTTTAAAAATAGGAGGAATTAAGAAAAAAAATGCATTAGTTTTGATTTCAAACATATATTTTAACGCTAGAATATTATGATATCACTTTAAAATGTAATTTAGATTTTTATTTGAACTAATAACAAAACTATTTATTTTTTTTAATATGATATTAAACATTAAAAATATTTAGTAAATGGTAAAATGTTTAAGATATTTTTATTATAAATATAGCAAAATATTAGGTAATAAAAAGAGAAATAATAAATAACTAATGGACGAAATTTCCTTGAAACAAAATAGAAACTGTGACAAATAGCTAAGTATGTATAGCCTGAAATTTATTTTTTCTCAAGATTTAATTTTTATTATTAATACTATTTCATCCAAACATTTTTACTGAGAATTTTTTTTTAAGATTTATACTCTCAAAAGGAAGGATAAAAGGATCTTAGAAGGGAAAAAAAAGTTAAAATATTTTGTTATTACATTTAGAAAAATAAAACGTTCTAAGACAAACGTCATACTCAATGCCTCGATCAAGAAAAAGGGAAAAAAAAGAAATAAAAAAGGGGAAAAAAAGAAAGAATGAAGTAAAAAGAAAAAGAATAAAAATGGGGTGTAGCGCAAAGATATATTGCGCAAAGGGGATTGAAAATCTGAAGTACCGCATTTTCAGTGATGTATGGAAGGGAGGCTAAATCTATCTTTCACTGGTATTGTAAAGGGGATTTGACAAATTAATTTCCCTACAGATCAATAAACGTTATTGATCTTTCATGAGAGTTATATCAATGATCTTAGGAATTCTTATTTCTCTGAAATAATATTTTCTAAATGATTTTGAAAGATTTTAATTTAATCACTGTTGCACTTTTATGATATGCTTATTTTATTGAAAAATCTTGTAGGAGTTGAAATTAATTATTAGTTCATGAACATTAAAGAATTTATATTTTTCTAAATTTATACAAATAAAAAAGATTTGAAATATAGAGAATGTGTTCTTCGCAATTCTGTAGCAATAAAGTAAATTTTAAAGAAATTATCCTTTTGAGCTTTCGGTTACTAATTTTCTAAAACAGGAATTTCCAAGTTTTCGTTCTACTTAACATATATTTCACAATTTATTATGTATTATTTTTACTTACTGTATTTATATGCATTCAAATAATATTTAAATGCAGCAGGTATTCCTTCTGTGAAGCTTCAATATTTTTGCATAATATTTAAAACGAAAATTATAAAAAGTTTTTCTTTTTAATAACGGCAGGCACTGAACTTTCGTTCTTCGCCTTAGAAGATAATAGAAGTGTTGCTCATTTATATGTGTATTATGCACCATTACCCAGTGGTCACCTGTGAACCAAAGTCACGGAGGCGAGCAATATTACCTACGCCACACTGCCACAGATAACCGAAGGGTGGGCCACATTCACACTTCACATAACATGGGACAACACACAAAGAAACATCGACGCCCTCAGCGAGATTCGAACCGCAGCCATTGACTTCGAAATCAGACTCGCTAACTACTCTGGCATCTAGCCGGTAATAATGAAATCATCCTATATTTGCAATATTATATTAAATAATATTGGTAGAATTTCTTAATATTTACAGGTTTGCAAGAAATAACAAAAAAATTATCTCATTAGCAAGAATTTTAAAATATTTTTTATGCTAAACATTGACCCAAACAAGTATCCAAGCTTGTGCGAGAAAGTTGATTATACTATGTTAACTATGCAACTTAGAGCCAAGACTACTCAAGAATGGTAATAGCAAGGATTCCACGGGCGAATAAAAATACAAAAAGTAGGGACTAATAAAAATCAAAATTTCATTAAAAGAGATTAAAATTAGAAACTTTTTCTAACATATTTTTTTCCCAATTTACTATTGAAAGTGCATACACAGAATCTTTTTGCTTTGAATGTGAATTATTCGAAATGTAAACCATAGTAATATTTACGATTGAATATTTAAAGAGATCATAAATAAATAAAAATGAATTGAGTTTTTACCACTGTTTACATTTTTAGTTTGCTTGGGGTATCCCTGTATTAGGCATATAATCCTGGCGTTTTTTACCGCACTCAAATTGTCACCCTTTTCACCAAATCAAATCTGAATCGACTAGAATTCCCATTCAGTCTTTCTTGGTGATAACTGCTTGCTTAAGGCATGGCAGAAAATTTTTTGAACATTGTTTCAGGGACCAAAGCAGTTACTCTGGAGTTTTTGTAAATATCATGCAAATAGTAATGTATCCATGTTTTTTTAAGTTACTGTTGAGATATTTTAGCAGGTATCATTTAGATGTTTTTGGTACCTTATACCTATTGTAAAAATATCAATAGTTTAGTGAGAATGTAATAGTTTAGTGAGAATGCATCAATAGAAAGTGAGAATGTACATTAAGCCGTAAAAATTGATGGAAGATCAGCTTATGGAGAGATAAGGGCGTTTTTTTTAGTTATTCAAACTAGTCATAATCTATGTCCTTTTCAGTTTTATTGTAAAAGGAAACTTTTAAGAAAACATGCTAAGGAAAATGCACAAGAAATGATTTATTTTGCTTAAACGAAAATTGCCTTCAAGTTGTATTATGAGTTGTGCCAGTATTGCTGCTGAAGGAATGTGCATTTGCATATTTACACCTGTTCTTAATCCAAAACTCGTGTGTTTTGAGTTGTGCCACTATTGCAGCCCATATGGTTGTTTGAATGATTTTACTCTGGTAAATATTGTGACTTATTATGACTTAAATGATTGAAAAGAGTTGAATTCAAACCATTTAAGTAGCCTGAGTTGACAAGTAGGAAAAGATTTATTGCTGTGCACATTTTTAAGTATCTCATTATGATTGCTTCTGTTTGCTTTTCTCGCTGCCATTATGTTTTTTCTAAATGAGCTTCATATGGGAAGAACTTGAAGTGATATAAGGTGGAATCTTACTTTAAATTGTTTTGAACATTTTTAAGAGCTTTTTGGGGGAAAAACCTTGACTTCTTATCTCTTCAATAAGATGTTTCTATGTATTGTGCAGCTATGTCGTACCTATTTGGAAAAAAATATCAAGTATTGTGTGTGTAATAGACTAGTGTGATAAAATTTTATAGCCACATCTTGGGAAAAATGTTGGAAATGCATCACTAAGTCTTTCATGTCGCATTTTAAGTCTTCCATATATTCATTGAGAAAAAATATGGTAAAAACAACCAGAATATGGAAAAACTTACCTTGTTTCCGGATCTACGATAACGCCAAGAAGTTCCGTAATTTTTACTGAAGCACTATGGTAATGATTTCGGTAAAGTTAACAGTAATATACGATTTTAAAAAATAAGATAAAATTTAGTTAATGTGATAAAATTTGTTAATTTAATCATGATAACGTTAGGGCAGGACATAAAAACCACTTATTCGGTTGAATTTACTTTTCAGTTTTGAATTTTTTACTAAATGTGTTTTAATAAAAACTATATATTTGAAAACAACACCTTTCGATAAGCCGTTACTATATGAACGGAAATATTACAAAATGAATGGTTTTGATATTTTCTTACCAGGATTATGGTATTTCCCCCCCAGAAATGTCCTTACCATGCAATATGGAAATTTTCCTAGATACCTTTTTCATAATACTTGTACTTCAGAATACTTGATCATTTGTCTAAAGAGAATTACCTCAGATTTTGGAGATGACTCAACGTAAGAAGGTCACAATAACTTAACAGTTAAGAAATCGTGAATTTAAAATAATTAATAGTAAAAAAGAGTAACATTTATAATTTTCAAGAATCAAATAGTTCCCAAAATTATTTGAAAATATATACATTACTTGAATTGTTAAATTAAACGAAAAATACACTTAGCGTGTTTTCAATAAAAACTAAATTGTAAAATTTATTATGAGTAGTAAAATGTCTTATTAACTATTTAAAACTAACAAACTATTTTCACATAAAAGGGAATTTGTATCATTTGATCAAGTTTTTCAATCCAACAATTTTGTTTTTGCCACAAGAAAAGTATATCTTAATACATATATAAAAAAAGAGACATTGTTTCAATATGATTACCTATAAATACTGTTAAGCTTTTGATGGTAAAAAAAAGGCTGTTAAATAAAAGATGATACTCATAATGAGTAACTAAAAGTGAAGCTTCTGCTTTCTAAAGTACCATTTAACACTCTACCGGATGAAGGGTCACAACTTACCGGAAATTCGCTCTTCATGGATAATCAGTCAATCACGGTGAAGCTTCCTTTAATGAAGGGATGAAAATGGATGGAAAATGTGCTTTTTGTGGAAAGAAAAAATTAATAAAGTGCCATTGCTTCCGAGTACCTACTTCATTATAAGAAATAAAACTAAATTTTAGCAAGAGCGATTTGAATACTCTTTGATTGCTCTTATAACCATTGTGTAACATTATAGTTACTGGACATATTAAGATGAGTTGTTATGTCAAATATATAATGCTTGTAAAAAAGTTAATGACAATTATTATGAGTTAAATTAAATTTTTATTTATCTCTTTTATGATTGGAAATTCAGTTTGGAAATGTTTTGAGAACTAAAAATGTAGAAAAGTAAACATTATCAATCGATTAATTAAATGATATAATTGTTTACAGGTTTTTAATAATTTAAACGTTTTAAGTTTATAATTTTTAAATTTTTATCACAGATTTTTAAATATTTGCTCAGTTAAAAAATATATAATAATTTATAAAAATATAAATACGATTATTCCTTGTAAGTATTAAAAAAATTCTAGAATGTCACTTACGGAAACAGAACAGCCCTGAAAATAATATATNTGATATATATATATATATATATGTATATATTTAGTTAAAAAGTAAAAACGAAGATAATAATCTATTTCATTTCATGAAATAGAGAATTAATGGTAATCATTTAACAATTAAATTGCTGGAGTAAAGAGTTGTAGATATAAAAATAATCAGTGCAAGAACTTCATTTTTCTTGCGATTCTGAGTCATTATTTTTTTTTAATTTTCGAAGACATGTGCATATAGTTAATACAATATTTTATCACCCTCTCAGTAAAAGTATCAAAACTGAAAACTAAATTTGACCGAATTAATGACTTTAAGCGATGCTAAGGTATCTTAATAAATTCCACATTTACCAAATTTTATCACATATTATGAAAACATATTCTATAGTTAATTTTACCAAAAACATTATCAAAACCTTTACCAAAATCATTATGAAATCACTATCCGAGATTTTTGGTGTTCCCATAGACCAAAAAATTCCCAGAAATTTTATCATAGTCTGGTAGTTTTGACCATACTTTTTTTCGCAAATTAGAAAAACAAAAACAAATTCCAATTAACGAAAATGTAATCGGCATACGGAAATAGGCATGACCTAATAGGCTTAAAAACATTGCAGCTAATATTAAATTTTTTTATTTTAATACAGGAATATTTTTTTTTAAATTCAGTTTTTAAGGCTAAATTTTAGTTTAAAGTGAAGATCTGAAAAAAAAAATCTTACTCCAAAATTTTTTTCAGCTCTTAAGTTTTATAAAAAGTAAATTCTAAAACTGATATTTGTTTTTAATTTTTGCTTAAATTTTTTTGTTAATTTTTTTTGTTAAATTGTTTAAAAGTTTCTTTTAAGTCATTTCTAGGTACTAAAAAAATTCCTTCCATTTACTGAAAACTCATCATTACCTCTGAGTAGGAATCCAAATTCTCCATGTGTTGCGATATAAATCGAACATTTAGGACAGCCCTTTCCATTTCTTCATCCTCCTGCCTCTCAGCCAACTGAAGATTGGAATCGTGACTATCAATATAGGAACATTCTATTTCACTCGCAACGATTCTTTCTCTGTCCAAAATGGCACCTGGAACGGTATCGCTGATGTCCACGTTATTAAACTGGCTCAAGATAGTTGGCTTCGTGCCGGAGGTGTCCGACGATTCCTGTGGATCTTCCGGTCTTTTCATCAGAAGAAATTTAGGCAGAATTTCGAGGAAGACTTTCCGCACCCAAGGCGCCATTTTGTGAGTTGCTGGGGACCGGAAGTTAACATTAAGTACCGCAATGGTCACTATAACTGAGAACGACACCAGGATCATGGTGAACAAGAGGTACTTTCCCAACAACGGTACAGTCAGAGAAGTAGGTGGGATTATCTCTGATAGAAGAAGGAAGAATACTCCCAGAGATAGCATGATTGAAATTGACAAAGATACTTTTTCTCCGCTATCAGATGGCAAATAGAATACCAGGATAGATAGAAAAGATATGGCAACGCAAGGTATTATTAGATTTACTGTATAAAACAGTGTTTTTCTTCGTATGGTAATGTTGTATGTGATATCTGGGTAGGGTTCTTCGCAGCAGCTATAAAAACGTTCTTTTCTTCTGGCCGGGACTGCCATTATATCCCATTCTACGCTGAGGTAAAATTCGCTAAGATCGATACCTATTGGTATTTCTGGTTCTTCTTCTCGCTGATGCTTGTGCTTCAAATCTACCTGGAAGTATAAAGAAAGATGTCTGATGTAATATCTTTAGAACAATAAAATGAATTTTATTCTTAGTTACATATAAGTAAGATATGCAAATAATATGCACGGTTGTAATAAAAATAGCATTCATTGATTTATAACATATGCTAATTGCTTTTCTTTGCCAACAATAACTAAACTTTTTTACAACTGTTTTGTTTGCTACATACGTAAAAGTTGGATTCATGTTGTAAAATATCCGCGTAATTAGTAACAACAGGGTTTGTGAAATTTTATTCAAGGACCGAAAGCTTTGCAATTTTTTCGGGCAATAAAATACATTTTTTGCATACAAGTAACAAATATGCAAATTATATACAAGTAACAAATAAAAATAATAATTATATTTTTCATTTCTTTAAATAACAAACAATTAATAGAACATTTATTGATTCAAAACGTGTACTGTTATTAATATAATATTTTTTTGCAGTTATAACTAAATTTGTGAAGCTGTTTCTTTCCTACAACTAAAGTTTTGTTAGCTGCATGAGACACACGAACTTGAAAGTTGGGTTTGTGTTGTTTTAAATTTGTGTAATTGGTAACAGTGAAATTTTATTCGAAGACTGACAAAATACATACAATACAAACAACACAATACATTTATTAATAATTATGTTAAGTAATAAATGAAAATAATAAGCGTAGTTTTCATGAAGCATGTTTTCTTTTTTAAAAAATGACAAACAAATAAATGTAGCTTCAATTGATTCATAACGTGAGTTATTTTTTTTTGCAGTAATAACCAAACTTTTTCGCAACTGTTTTTTTCTTATAACTAAAGTTTTACTAGCTGCAAGAGACATAAGAATGTAAAAGTTGGGTTTCTGTTGTAAAATATCTGCGTAATTAGCATAACAACAGAATTCGAGAAATTTTATTCAAAGATTAAAAATTTTGCAATTTTTTCAAAGAGCAAAATGTATATTTTTTGTATAAAAATAATAAATGAAACACACGTAACGAATATACAAGTTATAAACAAGTAACGATGGATATAATATGCATAGTTTCCATGAGGAATGTTTTTCAAAATAATAAATAAATAAATAGAACATACATTGATTAGTAACGTGTACCTTTTTTTTTTGCTTTCATAAATAAACTTTTGTGCAGTTGTTTTTTATTTTCTTACAACTAAAGCTTTTTTTTCAGCATGGGGCACTTGAACCTTAAAGTTGGATTTCTGTTGTAAAATATATACGTAATTAGTAACAATAGAGTTTGAAAAATTTTATTCGAAGACCATAAAAAATTTTTTTTTTGCTTTTTTCTTGCATCAACTTGCTAGAAGAACAAGAAAGAAACCTGTGCAGTTTTACATTATAGAAAATCAAGGAATACTCTTGATGTGAAATATATTACTTACATTGAACTTACAGTAGTTAGAGTATTAATGCAGAAAATGTTAATTCAAAAAATTTAATGCAAATTACTGACTTGTTTTAGCAACCCACTCAAGACATACTATGCTTGAAAAAAGTACAAGGACAACATTAAATTTAATGAAAATAAGGTTAATTTTCATTTCATTTAGATGTAATTTTTATATGTATCAGGTTAGTTTAGACTAATTTGAATATGTCTGGCTTTTGTCATAACATTTCGTAATAACACTTATAGCGCATAGAAAAATTGCTTCAAAAAATGGATTTTACAAAAATTATCAATATGGAAAATATTTTAAGCTCATGCTCTAAAATAATTAAAATTTTCCTCAATAATCAAGAAAACTACCTTCTCTTAATCACTTTAATGAGCTGAGAGTTTATTGATCCTAAAAGATTTCTTAAAGTGTCTACAGAAATTTTTTCTAAAGTGTCTTTGATAGCGAAAATAAGATCCTGTTTACATTGATATCGCGTGCCATTTCTCCAAAAGTCTTAAATTGGATTAAGATCAGAACTCTTCGCCGGCTAATCAATTAAATTTACAGAATCAACTTAAAACGAGAGATTTGCGCTTTTAGAAACCTGTATCAGAGCATTATCCTGTTAAAAAATTTAGTCCCCATAAGTAATCAGTGGCATTTCAGGTAAAAAACTTTATCCTAGCATATCAACATATTTGTCCAAATCTATTCTACTGTTGATAAAGACTACTAAAATGGTTCCATTTGTCGCAAAAGCGCATCAAACGATCACTGAGCCACCACCATATTGTCGTTTGTAAAACATATCTTTGGTTTTTCGTAGATTGTACCAAAAATAACGTAAACCACTAGTTCCGTTAGGGTTAAATATTTTTTGCAAAAAAAAAAATAAAATACATTAATCCTTTCTTTAATGAGGGAAAATTTTTTCTCAAAATTAACTCTTTTTCTGATTTGTAAGAGGTGGACGTGGCACAAAGTTTCGATAAGAAAGATGAAGTTGTTTATTTAAAATATTTCGAACAGTTCTTGATGAGCATAGTAAGTTCAAATTTTGCCTAACTTCATTTGAAGTTCCTTTTTTCTGGCAAGTTCTCTTTACAATCATTCCATTCTGTTCACGAGTGAGAATTTCTGGTCTCCTAGATCGTTTTTCCATGCAAGAAAATTAAGAACCAATCATTTTATAGCTCTTGATTTTTTTTTTAAATTTCCCGATCTACATTCTCTGAAAAGAAACAATTTTCCTTTTTTTTTCAAATTCAGAAATATGAGTTCCTTTAAGTTGAAGCTGAGTTGGTTCAAATGTCAGAGTGAAAGTCGACAAGTGCGATATTTTTTTCACAAACCGATCTTTTTTCCCGGGAATGTCATTTTCTGTTTTCAAATATGCAAATTTTTCAATAATTAGGGAAGAAAAAAGCAATATTCTTATACTTTTTTCCAATATCATTTCTACTTAAAAACCAGAAAGTAAATTTAAACAGATAAATATTTGAAAATTTTACTTAGTTTACACAAGAAATGATTTAATGTTACTCCTATTTTTATTTAAATTTATCCACGATTCCGCAAACAAGAATNTCGATAAGAAAGATGAAGTTGTTTATTTAAAATATTTCGAACAGTTCTTGATGAACATAGTAAGTTCAAATTTTGTCTAACTTCATTTGAAGTTCCTTTTTTCTGGAAAGTTCTCTTTACAATCATTCCATTCTGTTCACGATTGAGAATTTCTGGTCTCCCAGATCCTTTTTCCATGCAAGAAAATTAAGAACCAATCATTTTATAGCTCTTGATTTTTTTTTTAAATTTCCCGATCTACATTCTCTGAAGAGAAACAATTTTCCTTTTTTTTCAAATTCAGAAATATGAGTTCCTTTAAGTTGAAGCTGAGTTGGTTCAAATGTCAGAGTGAAAGTCGACAAGTGCGATATTTTTTTCACAAACCGATCTTTTTTCCCGGGAATGTCATTTTCTGTTTTCAAATATGCAAATTTTCAATAATTAGGGAAGAAAAAAGCAATATTCCTTTACTTTTTTTCCAATATCATTTCTACTTAAAAACCAGAAAGTAAATTTAAACAGATAAATATTTGAAAATTTTACTTAGTTTACACAAGAAATGATTTAATGTTACTCCTATTTTTATTTAAATTTATCCACGATTCCGCAAACAAGATTCAAGAATTAGCGATTTTTCACGCGCTCTTATACTTTTTCTGATCACTTTATAAACAAGAAAGAAATAATAAATTTAACGTACTTTTTTGCTACCTAGAGCTTTTGAATTCTTTAATGAAACAAACACAAAAAGTTGCTTGTTTTGAGCCATATATTAAGAATTACGTGCTTATTAAATTCCAGTTTATATTTCTTGCTTTGGAATTGAACTGTTTCCTTTTCCAAAAAGATTTGCTATTTCAATTATTTATTTGAAAATAAAAAAATATATAGATACTTTTTTAACCATACTTCCAAACAATGTTTTCATCATTGTAAGCATGGTTGGTTAACATGAAAACAAGAATGGTAAATAATTTCATTTAAAAATAATTCTCAATAAAAAAGAAGCTATGTAAGATATGTAATGCTATGTTAGATATGTAATGCTATGTAAAGCTATGTAAGAATAAAGCTATGTAGGAAGGGCCATCTCCTATTTCAGACATAGCCGTTTTAATAATTCCATTTTTAATCTAACGATAGCATTATTCTTACAGATATAATCTGTATAGTTGCTGTTGCATTCTTGAAAATGTCATATTAAAAAACATAGCTACTTCAATTAACTATCCTACACCAAACAACAAGTGTCAAATAATTCATATGTTACACACTTTTTTCATAACAATTCTATCCTAGTTTCTTTTACGAAGCAAAATTAAAACAATGTAAACACTAAGAAAATAAGATATAATATGCATACTAACATTTCCTTCATAGCTTATATAAACGCCGCTTGCTTCTTTATCACTACTTTCATTCCGAAAAAGAATTATTCGAGAACTCACATCAGAAAAATAAAGTTGATAGAAAAAACGTAAAAAAAGCCGTACCGGTATATGGAATTCGGTATTTAATAAAGATTGAAAACAGATAATACAACGTTTTAAAAAGTCTCTTCTGTCCAATCCAACTTTAAGCATAGGAATAAAGCAAATATACTTCTCAAATTTAAAGAAGACTTTTTATGGTGATAGGCAACATATAAATGAAAGTGATGAAGTAAAAGTATCCTCGCTGAAGCAGATTATCAGCTAAGATGTGTCATAGAATTTCAGACTCTATAATTTTAAGCCAAATATCGTGATGGAGGCAATGTAGTCAGAATTGCGCCCTGGCCACCTTTACTTTAGCAATTTCGACAATTTTAATTTACAACAGAATTAGTATTTAGTAATAATCGACATTAGCAATAATCAGCAGGGTGTGTTTCGAGTTATCACCGTGAACAGATTTCCATCCATTCACAATGAGAGCTCAGTGCCTTTACTAAAATATATCGTGGCTTAGTGAAAGACTGTAGTTATTTTAATTAAATATCCCTCATATAACAACAGCTTTAAAATAATTCATATACTAAACACTT